ACACATGCAAGACACTTTATCATACAAAAACTGAACAATTTTTTAAAATTCAATTATTAAAACCACATGATTTACTTAAATATGAGGTCTAAAAAGATTGGAGAGCTATAAAATGTAAGACTTCAAATTCAATTTTGCTCTTCACACTTTGAGATAAGAATTTTTTAAAAGATTTAATTTACATGTAGCAAATCGCTTTTTAAAGTTTGTACAAAATCCTTGAATGAACAGGTAATTATTATATTTTTCATTGGAATCGTACGTTTCATATACATGGATTAATCGAGTATTATATCTTTTCAAGATATTTTATACTCCTAAATATATTGAATTGACTGAGTACTTTATTTTCACTTAATTAAATTTTTGCCATACTTTTCTTATTTTTTATTGTGCATTAAATAAGAGTAGCAGCAGTACAGTTAATTAAAATGATTTAATTTACTTTTATGAAATAAATTTTGTGCTTACAGAGACTATAAATAAGTGTTAAAAAATGTGAGAAATTTCTTACAGTAATATTATGAAATGCAAATATTGAATTTAACATCGTTTTATTCGATAAAAGATTTACTCTAAATGAAAACTAAATCATAGATGGTTCAAATTATGCGTTCTTGTTATTTTTCAACTTTTAGCATTCCAATATAATGAAAACATTGTTTGATAAACATTGTCAATATTTTTACTAGGTATAAATATCAAATTACATCAGTCTCAAGAAGCACGCAGCATTTCTTTCTATTTTTTTTTCCTTTTGGCAAATATACATCACAGTGTCGTTGTATTGACTTAACATCATATTACAACTTCATTAACTAAATGTCTTCATTACACCTTATTTAGCCAAATAAACTACTCTAACGGATGAGTATCTGGTTAGTAACTGACCTGTAATCACAACATACATTGACTGTTTTCATTTACAAATACTTTATTCGCATCAAACTTTCACTTCTCTGAATAATTAAGAATTAAAATTAAAAAAAAATATAGATAATGGTAATTTTTTCATCTTTCCTTCGTTTTCATAGAAAATGATTTGACATATTAAGTTAAGTTAAAAAAAAAAATAATTCGATGAACCGAATGAACTTTATACAAGAAAAATTATCGCTGCAGTGCATATGTAATGTATGTATTCATTGCTTTAGTTGTGCAGTAATAGAAATATGTTTACAGTAATACTTGTTTGCTACTTACATATAAAATAATATACATATATATATAATAATAAGTTGGAAAATCACTACATTACCAGCTGTACTAATGAAAAGAATAAAAAAACTTGGAATTTTTAATTTTAAATATGTAAATTCGGTATTCATACTTTCCAGTCATGGGATTATTTTCGTGATAGAAGTTTCAGGAAAACAATTACAACTTTGATTTTTTACGTTTCGGTAACGGTACACATTAAAATTTTTTACTAAGCAATTATTCGTTAAAAATGTTGTAGTTGCTTATTTGTCTATTGTGAGTATGGCCACAATCAGAGTTTAATTCTATTCATTTACTACATTTGTGACATATGTTCCCAAGGACTATTTTACTTATCTCATGTGTAACATCAGTGATATAACTCATTCTGAAAAGTTCGATAACGTGAACAACAACTAGATTGAAAACATAGTTGTGTAACGCGTCACTGTTCTCATTAAAAACCGAAACTCTCACCTCTGATTTGACGAATATGTGAGCATCCTCGACAAACTAGTCCTAGAGAGATTATGCTATCACTTTTGGCTCTATGTAATGATTCAACACATGAGGAGCCTCATTAAATTCATCAAGCTCGTCTCCGTTGTAGGCTCCTTGGGCCAGTAGGAAATATTGCTCGCTTCTAGTTGGCCAAAGTAAATGGGCCATTACACAGTAAGCAAAACAATCCACAGAATAAGTAATACCTGAAAGTTTCAACTTTATTTAGATTTTTTCTTTTATGATTAAATAAATTTAGTTTAGTAATACAAAGTTAATTGTTTACCCAAGAGGAGTTTAAACCTCCACAATGCACTGACTTGAAGAGCTATGAGGGCTATTATAGGTAAATAGATAAACCATACTAATGATGATGCACCAAAGTGAAGTAGGAAGTTTAGCTTTTGAGTATTGTGCTCATACATCATTGTACTCCGAAGTTCAAACAGAAACCATAACATTATCATACTGCGGAAAAACAATATAAACCAACCAGGCCACGTTTGATACTCGTCGATATCTTCGATTATATCGACTTCAGTCTGAAAATTTTTACACAAATGCTCTTACAAGAGTTGAAAAAATTTTTTTTTTTTTTTTTTAAATTAATAAATACATAAAGGCTTACCAAGTTCCAGACGTACAACAGAATATGAACTACACCGTAACAAATCCATATTGCAAATACTAAGAGTTTGCTAGTGAATTCTTGCCTGGTTACAGCATAGCCTTTTGCCAGCAAAAGTAAGAGTAACATGAATGAAGCCTAAACAATATAAACCATCAGTTATACAACAAATATCTTAAATTATTTTATGAGATTTCGGCTTACTCGAGATAAAATATCAAGTATATCGCCAGCTACTTCTAGCTGCTCATAGCCAACTCCATCAAAGGCAAACTTGAGTACATGCACAAGAATCAGGCTCAGAGCCATGAATTCCAAGAGGAGACTTGCTGTAAAAAGTTTTGTAACAGGATGCTTTTGTAATCTTACTGCAAACAGCTGTAGTGGCACTAATACAGTGTAACATATAAAAAATAACAAATAGAGTTCAATGGTGTTTTGTCTGTCGTATGAAAATTGGTAGGAGCTTAGACTACTCAAGCCAGTGTTATTGGGATTTCCATTGATTAGCCAGATATCGTATTCTAGTTCATCCTGCTTGTCATAATATTCCCATTGGCAAGTTTCATTATTTCTGTAGCAAGCTACCAGACTAACGTACCAAAAGCGTGGTTGAAAGTCGTCTCTGATTGTAAAAGTAAATTGGTTACCACTAACTACATTCCATGGTAAATTTTCATCAGGACATAATTGTCCTGCTTGACAAGGTACTCTTCTGCAATAATTAAAATTTTCAATCGTTACCAAGAGAAATAATAATAAACAAAACTACACATCAAGCCAGTAAAATGCTCACCTTAAATAATCTTGTCCATTGTCATTGCATTTCATATCGTACGAACTCTGGTTCAAAGTCTTAAACATTCTGGTACAAGCTAACTTTTTATCTCTAATCATACGGTTTCCATAATACTCCAAAAAGTGGTTGCGATCTAATACAGCTAAGGTGATATTTCTCGAAAAATCCGTTTTCGAAGTAACATTTCCGAAAATATAGCCGTAAGAGTCTCTTTGCCTGTGAGGATCTGTTTTTTGAAAGCCAAACTTTATAAGGAACTTGAAGAAATTCTTTGTATCAAACGTGCCACTAATGTGCGTCGAGCTAGTATTCTCAAACAGTAGTAGCAGCAACAGCAACATTAGTGCCATCAGACAAATCAATCTCAGTTTGCAGTGTCCCATTGCGACAAACTGTACCGATTGTCAAGAGATTGATATTGATTTCGTTGACATTTTTCGACCAGCAAAACTATTTCATTTTCACAGCCTCCTAATTACTTTGTATCCTTTCGTTCTCATTACAACCTAATTCATCAATTACCTACTTTTTTCGGTGAAAAAAATTGGAAGAAAATTCATAAAACTTAACACTCATGATAATCATAATACGTTAATGGATTGCAATATTAAAAGCAATATTGCACTACCAAGATCTGGTGACAAACACTTATTATGATAAAGAACGCTTATCAAAGTGATAACCCAGATTTTCAAGTAAACAAAGCCTGATCGTTTGTTCGATGTACTTTTTTTTTTTCTTTTTATCAGTAAAAATTCATGACACACTGATTATTAATTTAAAACAGTTGTTGCATTCAGCCAACTATAAAAAAATATCGGTTCTCCTTCTTCTTCTTCTCATAAAAATTAAAACTTTTCTTCACAACGTCATGAAAAATTAATCTGGTAAGTATACAAGCAGGTACTTAAGCGTCGAGTGAAAGTAAGAAATATTTTGGCTTCTTGTCGGAGAAAAGACTAACCTCAAAGCAAAGCTGCTTGGCTACGTCAACAATAACCAAGGCAAATGCATCCCTGTCATTTTTTCACTCCACTTAGCAGAATCGATACTTATCAATTGCACTTAATAACGACTGACCTGCCGACTAATCTCCGACAAAATTAAAGCGCTCTTTTCGCGAAACAGATGACACATAACAAAAGCAAAGTCGACGCAGACCCGTTTCGCGGGTTATCTTTGCTATGCCTAAGGAAATGCATAAGTTTGTCCCTCTTCCTCTCTATTATCTATTTATCTGAATACTCTATCCACGACATACAGCTCTTTATTGATTTTCTTCAAAAAACACTTGGATAAGACTCGTTCCAATTCATTTAGATTCACTCAATGTTTCACTACGATATTTGTCGATGTACTTATGCCGCAATGCCACTGAGAAATTCAAATAATCTAGAACTTCCTCTCTATATCGTGAGGATATCTCCACTGAAACTGTAGTGATGCTGCATTCTGCATACGTTGCAGCTGCAGGATGCAGTTGGGTGTGTTTTTTTGTGTTCTCGATTTCATCTCGTGAGTTTGGTTAGGGTGCGTTTCTAGATGGAGTCTGAAGAGAGTGTGCGAATCTCCAGACTCCATTTAAACGCACCCTAATGGATTTTTGAACCACCACTGTCCGCAGTATCAAATAATATGTTGTCACTAAAAAATAATAACAGAAATTTTTCACTTCCTCGCACAGCACGTGCTTGAGAATATCGCTGAGAAGAATCAAGATGTTTTGTAGGTACTTATACTTCAATCATGATTTGCCGTCAGGGACTTTATCCCTTATCTTATACTTTCTTTGCTGCATGGGAAAGATAAAAAAAAAAAAATGCTCATTTCTCATTTACGCACCTATCGACGACATCGTACTTTTTCTTGCTAGTTGTATTTATGTATGTATGGCTTTGATGAACACTTTCGTGTCAAAACCAACCAAAAAAACCTTGAGCTGAAAAGATTTTTTTTATTATTTTGCGAGGCAGAATCTATAACGGAAGAAAATTGAATTAGTATTATATATTTTGTACACCTTTTTTGTGCTTCTCAGTTGGCGCGTTTCATCGGCCCCGAATGAAAAATTTATTTTTTCGAGGTAACATTTCCATTCAAACGGTAAATTTTAATATTGGATAAAAAAAAAGAGAGTGTATTCTATTCTTCTCGTATCGAAATATTTATCTTCGTTATCAAAGTGTAGAAAACATCGCATTAAACTGCGACCCAAGAAACTTGACAGCTCATCATTTTGCAATTCGATTTTATCGTATCTCTTCTTTCACTTCTTATCAATCCTATCAAGCCTTCATGTAATAATAAGAGATTATAAGATTAAACTCGAAGAGCATAAATAAATGCCTCAGGTAGGAGACGTTGGACATTACTAGAGTGGAAGCACAATCATAAAGTATATTTAATAAATTCGACGTTTTTTAAACTTTTTAAATAGTCATAAAAATAATTACCTTGGACATTGTACCAAAATTACCAGTGTTTGGAAACAGTTAAATACCTGATTACTTTGAAATAACAAGTTGCTAAGAATTTTATTTTAATAAGACCAATGCAATTTCGATAAATAAAATCGTTTTACTGCACCGTATAAGAAAAAGTATCAGCTTAGACATGACAGTGTCACACAGATTGGTATTTATCTTCACTATATTTCTTACCGTAACGTTTATCGTTGCTAAGGAATTACAAATATTTAACCAGGACACATGCAGACCCAAAGGACTTCAAGTAAACATCTTTTATATACGCACGACATTTTTATTACAGTTAAAAGCTTCATAAAAACTTACGGCGTAAAACAAATTTTCAACTTAAATGAGCGTTGATCGAGTATTTTTAATTAACTCTATTCTTAGACTAGCTCGATATGAAGTACAATTTTCGTCTTGATACGCTTTTTCGTACTAGCAAAATCTGTAACTTAAAAGCTGCTCTGAGAAAAAGTTTTATATAATAGGTATCATTGGAACATAGCTTTTTTACTCTCTTCTGTAACTAATTTTGTTCAAAGAGAATTTACCAAACAGCTATAGTTTAAAATACAAATTGTGCATTTTTTCATGCAATAATGAATGTCGTCCTAGTACCGTAAGTGAAAAAAAAAAAAAAAAAAAAACTATCAATGTTGGACTACAGTTATTTTATTAACATTCAACACACAAAAGCGTAATCTTTGTCATAGAGCATTTGATGATTTTTTTTTTTTTTTTTTTTTTGGAAGCACAAATTTATTAAAAATGTTAGTACGAAGTAATGTTCAGTTTAAAATAACGTTTGAATTTTCATATTTCAAATAGTGCTTGAAAGATAGTCAATGTTGTGGACAGCTTGTGTGCGATCGTTGGAAACTCCATTGCGCAGAGCAGACGGGTAATTTACCGCTAAAATTACCGTGTAAGCCGCCCGGTTCAATCGTAAGAAATATTTCAATTTAATACAGTCACGAAGATATATTTTATATACTAGTCGACATTTTCATCTAAATGCAATTTCGAATGTTTTTTGTTCGTGGCAGTGTACAGAGGATAGTCATTGCTGTGGGCCATTGATTTGTAACCCCTGGAAGAATCGTTGCACTAAAAAACCTCCGAACTTACCTTCGAACTGCAAGCCAAGAGGTGCCTTGGTAGGTGAATATTTATTTTGTTTGTCGACAAGCTCACTTCGACATCAATCGTTTTACAAACATTCGCGACAGTACAAAATTACATTTACCATTTGGTTGGCTGTTCGGTTGAGTGTATACTAATTTTATTGTACTTTACGTGCCGATAATTTTCATTCAAAATCGTAACTCGTCATAGTTATCATAGAGAGTGACAGTCATTGTATAACACGCGACACTATAGTATATATATTATGTCACCATTGTTCCTAACTTCCATGACACTGTCATCAGGTCGACCGCACACTACTGCCATTGTCAGCTTACAACTTACATACGTTCACGTTAACCAATGGCTCTGAGTTGTTTTAACACGCATTTGCCCACACGTGCACGTGTTAACGTACAATAAAATTGCATGGTTTACGCCTCATCGACTACGTACATTAATATTTAAATTAAATTCATTTAGTTAAGTACTTACTTGTATTAGTTTGCTTAATTGTATTAATTTTCTGATTCGTTATATTTTATAACACATTAGATTTTTTGTGCCAACGGTATTTTTTTCCCAGTACTGATTTTTCTGTTTAAGCATCCTTATTTTCTCCTTTTCTTACGTTATAACTACAAGGCTTATTTCACACATATTGGAAAAGTTTCGATCGTACGTTGGTAATAAATTTCATTATTCAATGCAGTGTGTAGCAGATGATCAATGTTGTGGATCTCTCATATGTAACCCGTGGAAATTGCGATGCACAAAAAGACCGGGAAATTTACCTCCGTGGCAAACTTGTAGACCTCACAATGCCATGGTAATAAATATTAATACATGAAATACCTATCAAAAATTAAAAAAAAATTGTATTTAAACAATGTCGAACGTTTCAGTGCGCAAAAACTGAGGATTGCTGTAAGCCATACATTTGCGAGCCTTGGTCGAGTCGGTGCAAAATATCATCGCCAACAAGCTCAACGTCGAGGGTTGAAACAACGTTTTCGACGTCGAGTGAAGGAACGACAACATCTCGAACTACCACAGACCAATCCTTTCCAACATCAACCGTTGATCCATCGACTGCAACATCGAGCCAGAGACCATCGACTCATACACCGAGTGAAGGAACATCTACACCTTCGAAGTCGACCGAAAGTACGACTAAGGCTTTTCCATCATCCACTGAAAGGTCAACTTCAGCTGAAGGGTCTAGCAGAGCACCATCTACCACAGAGTCTGGAGGTGGAACAACTAGCCAAGAAACAACTACTCCGGGGTCAGGCGAAACTCCAACAACTTCAGGCCCTGGAGGAACAACAACATCAGAGTCAAGTAAAGAAACAACCACGTCGTCTTCGAGCGAAGGTCCAACAACTTCAGGAACTGAAGAAGAAAGTAAGCCAACATCGTCTTCTGGTGAAAAAACAACAACTGAAGGATCTAGCAAAGCACCATCTACCACAGAGTCTGGAGGTGGAACAACTAGCCAAGTAACAACTACTCCGGGGTCAGGTGAAACTCCAACAACTTCAGGCCCTGGAGGAACAACAACATCAGAGTCAAGTAAAGAAACAACCACGTCGTCTTCGAGCGAAGGTCCAACAACTTCAGGAACTGAAGAAGAAAGTAAGCCAACATCGTCTTCTGGTGAAAAAACAACAACTGAAGGATCTAGCAAAGCACCATCTACCACAGAGTCTGGAGGTGGAACAACTAGCCAAGTAACAACTACTCCGGGGTCAGGTGAAACTCCAACAACTTCAGGCCCTGGAGGAACAACAACATCAGAGTCAAGTAAAGAAACAACCACGTCGTCTTCGAGCGAAGGTCCAACAACTTCAGGAACTGAAGAAGAAAGTAAGCCAACATCGTCTTCTGGTGAAAAAACAACAACTGAAGGATCTAGCAAAGCACCATCTACCACAGAGTCTGGAGGTGGAACAACTAGCCAAGTAACAACTACTCCGGGGTCAGGTGAAACTCCAACAACTTCAGGCCCTGGAGGAACAACAACATCAGAGTCAAGTAAAGAAACAACCACGTCGTCTTCGAGCGAAGGTCCAACAACTTCAGGAACTGAAGAAGAAAGTAAGCCAACATCGTCTTCTGGTGAAAAAACAACTACTGAAGAATCTAGCAAAGCACCATCTACCACAGAATCTGGAGGTGGAACAACTAGCGAAGTAACAACTACTCCGGGGTCAGGTGAAACTCCAACAACTTCAGGCCCCGGAGGAGAAACTACTTCAGAGTCAAGTGAAGAAACAACCACTTCGTCTTCAAGTGGAGAAACGACATCGAGCGAAGGTCCAACAACTTCAGGATCTGAAGAAGAAAGTAAGTCAACATCGTCTTCTGGTGAAGAAACAACAACTGTTACTACCACAGTTGAAGGATCCAGCAAAGTACCATCTACCACAGAATCTGGAGGTGGAACAACTACTCCGGAGTCAGGTGAAACTCCAACAACTTCAGGCCCCGGAGGAGAAACTACTTCAGAGTCAAGTGAAGAAACAACCACTTCATCTTCGAACGAAGTGCCAACTACTGTAGAACACGAAAATACTTCTACTACGCCGTCTAGTATTGAAACTACTGCGACCACTACTGACAGCATTCCATCGTTTTCAACAGCCGGTACCACTGATCAACCCAATCCAACTACAAGTGGTTATTCATCATCTTCCACTGCTACCAGTGATACTCCGAGCATAACGACAGATGAATGGAAGAGTAGATATATAATATTATGATCGTGTCCCATATTGCATCTGAATAAAATATTAACGATATAAATAGTTACGAAATGTTAACCCTTTGAAAAAAATCAATAAAATGACGGTGTTAGAAACAATATTGTTTTAATAAAAAATTGGTGCTTTTAACGATTAAAAACTGTTATTTACTTTACACATCGCAATAAAGTACATTGAGAATATACCTTTTTTTTTGCACGGCCCCTTCAAAATCTTTACGATCATTATTAGACTTACATGTAACAATCGTGGTTGTATTTCTGAATGTCGACTGCACAGCTTATTTGTTCTCATTATGTCGAAATTACGAGAAAAGCTCGCTCGAAAAACGTAAAGTTTCGCACTGAGGTACGGCGTGATGCTGAAGAATATTTAAAGTGTTTACCCGGTAGTATATGTAACGTCGTACATCTTGAGGGTTAATACTGTAAAATACGGATGTAATCGCCGCAAGGCTGTCGCATTGCTCTCCAACAATGTATTACTTATTATTATTTTTTTTTTCAAATCGCAGCGTTTTGCTACACCGATATTAATTTAGATACGATGCTTACGTACGATTGTAAGGGAAGTGTGATTTAAAATTGCCGAGAGCAAACGCGAGAAAATATCTTTTACTACATGTATTAATTATTAGAGCCTCAGTTGGAAATTTTTAAAAATCACGCAAGCTTACAATGAATATATTTTTGTAATTTGCAATGAACCAATATTTTATGTGCATTATATTTATTTACATCAAAAAACATTCTGTACCAACAATTACTGATTTTTCAAATCGACAATCTATTTCCGTGAACTTCAAGATACTGGTCGTATTGAATTTATTATTTTTTTCTTCATTTGCTCGTTACAGAGCAATATATCCTACTAATACCAGTACAGCCATTCCTCGTAATCTCTAATCGAGGACCATCAACAGCAGCATATCTTAATTCTTTTTAAAGGCACCGTAACCCGCAGCAACAACATACAGCATCAGTAGTAAAAGCAACCGCAGCGCAGACACTGCCCAAGCGCTCGTTAGATGAATATATAGGTATAAAAAGTACTATATACTGTACTACACTGTATATACACGGTATCGTTCTCTCTCTATATACTCTCCTCTCTCGCTTTTCTCTGTGCTGCATTCACCCTCTCAGTCTTCACACGCAAGAGTAGGGTACACCTATAGAGGGTTGCAAGTTACAGAATTGCAGTGGAGAAGGCAAAAAAAGCCGCTCCTGCGTCAGTTTGCTAGTTCATCGCCCTCTGTATAAACTGGAGCTTAAAACTTGCAGCTGAATTTGAGGTTAAAATCGTCCGTATGTGCAGGCTCCAGCATCCGTACGATGCTGATATGTGTTGCGTGTTCTGTGCTTGTTGAGATGCTGCAGCAAGCTCGCGGACTTCGAAGCGGATGCAACGGAAGTACTATGGACTTGTATTTATGTTCAGGATGTCGTGGAAGCGGTGCAAATTGTCGAAACCGTCCGTCCTTTCGTGAACCTCAATGTTACTGTCAAAAAGAAAATCGAAGACATTAAATTTGCGGTTATACTTAGTGTAGATTGCAGTGGAAGTGTCAGTGAGTATAAGCGGGTGCAACAAGATCCTGTAGGTTTAATAAAACACCTACTTCATTCGTACCTATACTCTTCAGGCAGTGCATGTGTGTCTCGATGCGTTGCAAAAATGTTCGTTGATTCTCGAAGCTCTCGGTGCGTGCGGTATATTAAATTTGGTGCATGCACTATTACAATTATGGACGCCCATGGATAATATACTTGTACGCCTTATTTATACAATTCACGCCTGCCGTTTATTCGTGTCGTTTACCACACATCACCATACATAGGTACTACATCACATTTACGCCAAAAGTACAATTTATTTACACCCATGCACAGCTGGTAGGTACTGTTATGTGTTTATAATACCTATATGTATATGCAGCCTGTGCAAAACGTTTACGTGCGTGTGTTTCGTGTTTTATTGGAATCCACTCAAAGGACACCAAGTCACTGCTTACCTCGTCGATAGACGATTGCTTATTAATATAATCTGCCACGATACTTAAGTCCGAAAAAATTATCCCCTTGTGTTTTATTCAATCTTATCTGCCGAACGGCATGGAAAGGCATCCACATATGATAATGACGATTGGTGGCTAATGATTTTTAACTATTTTTATCCACACTCAAGTTGTGGGGAATTTTTTGTCGGTTAGTGCGGTACAACCACAAAGTACCCGTGTGTTTTTTTCAGTGAAGTGCAACTAAGTGGCCGCCGTTACGAAGTGCTCGAAATATTTATCAAGATGATTACGAGGATGACGAGCGTGGCCGTCAAAGAGGACATTGCTGGGCTGTTTTTGACTCTGCTGGCTTTCGCTTCATGCATCTCTTCCATCAACGCAAAAGGTACACAACAATTCATTTCCGCTATTTTTGTTTGCTATTCTTTTTTTTTTTAAGCCAGTACATGTAGTTTGTCTACCAACAAAACAATCATTAAAGCAGAACCTTTTTCAGTTAGCCGGGTAAAAAAAAGGTTGGACGCAACATTATTTTAAAACAATTTTTCGAACCATGATAAATTGAAACATAAACAGAATGTATGGTTTTTACCATTTTGGCCGACCCTGTCGAGTTGATTGTTTTACCCCCACTTTGAGTTAATTCACTACTTACAATATTATAATCTGACAATAATATTTTCAAGTAGAAAATGTACATTGAAAAAAAAAGTAAATTGATGAATGCACCTAGAATCTCGCCTAGTATACAGTGTTACGTCTAGATAGAAAAATAGAATAAGGAGATACGTACGTGTTTAATTTAAAAAAAAAATATTAAAAGATGAAGCGATGAAATGGAGATTTCAATTAAAAGAGAGATCAAGACAAAAAGGTTTGAAGTGTGTGTATGGAATAATGCACCCGCAGAGGAACTTGGAGGAACGTCAGGAAAGGGTAAGCAAATGCAGCAGATTAGTTTATTAGAGTGGGAGAGGAACGTCCAAGGATGTCCCATTAATATTTCTTCCTCCTCCTCCCTTTGACTGGTTGCTCGAAGAATTTTTATTCTCAATTTCACGCTCGTGGATCACAACCCGTTGTCCCATTAAACTTGGAAGCCGCGGCTTGAGTTGCGAAAAAAAAAAAAAAGAGAACTCGTCCTCGCTCGCCCAGTTGGCGTTAATGTCTCCGTTCATCATTTGTAACATTGTATAATTTAAGGAAAAAAAACTCCATCTCTTCTTTTTCTCCCTACCGATGTTCTTTTCTGTACATCGTTGCCACAAAAACTTGGCTTGATGTTGTTTTATTTATCGCTGGTCATTTGTCACGCTTTGTATATATAGGTTTGAAACTGGGCGCGCAAGAAGAGGGTAAGAGAAAGTCAGTCACTTTGTAAATCGCGAAAAAAAGACAAGTATTTTTTGGGGGACTTTATTTTTCGTCAATCTGAAAAAAAAGCCGCGCTTTACTCGCTATTACATCATCTAATCTTTTCATCAATAAAACTCATTGTGCAAAAAGAGAAACGTGGAATCTCTTGATGCTTTAATATCTGGATGAGTGGATGTATTTATCAACGACAATTTACAAAAAGTAAATGTATTATCGTACATCCGGATATAAAAAAGTCCACTACTACCAACAGCACCACAAACAAACCACTATCGTCACCGATGGAGAGGCAATTTTAACGATTAGCTGAAAACGTTCGTCTTGTCTTGTCTCTTGAACTACCAAATTTAAGAAGTAATTTTTTAAAAAGCTTTGCTTATTTTTCACGTATACCCACGAGATGTAAAACACGAGTAGATCGTACCTACTGTTCGAGCCTTGCCTCGAATTTCAAACATTGTAAAAGTACAGTAAAAGTGTTTGGTTTGTCTGGACGAGCTCGCATCGATTATTCGAATTGCGATTTTTTCGAGGGCAAGGCAAAGCTCTCGAGTGATGGGCAAACTGTAGAGCGAGTGCTCGGAAAACAAGAGGGATCGAACAGGGCATAGAGGCCAGTTTGAACAAACAACAAGAAGTGGGTAATGGTAATAATAAACGTGTTGCCTACTAATGTATATATAATATAATGTATAGCGCAGTATCCATGTATATAGCTTTGGCGAATAAAAATAAAAAGTAGCCCTCTGGTCGCGCATTTTTGCACCGCGATCACACAAATCAACATGTAATAGAGAGGACAAGTTTTATTTATACCACACCAAAGTGTAGCAGCGCCATGTGGTTATTGCAGTGAGGTAATAATATAACACCCAAATAGGTATTTCCCTACTTCATTATAAAAAAAATGTCTCAAGTGATTTCATAACTATTCATAGATGTAGTTTATTACATTACAAAATATAATAATTATGGATTATAAATTATAAGCTACACATCGGCCACATCGTGCCCCCTTCCATTAATTTTTAATCATCGGAGAGTATTCACCATTCAATTTAATGTCGGTCATATTGATGTTTAGCGTGCGTGTGTATTTATCAGATTCTCCAATAACATAATTTATGCAAGCTTTGAAAACGAGTAGTAGATATGATGGGTGAAGAAAAAAAAAAAAAAAAAAAAAAAAATTAATTTCAAGCAAGTCGGAAGTATGAATGGCGGTGGAGGGCACGCCGTTTAGAGATTAAATAAATCGAATGTAATTTTCATGGCAATTTTCCGTGTGACAGATTCATTTCGAGCGGATACGCTGCGTTTCTCTCGCTCTCTCTTGGGACGGCGATTGATCGAGAAATTCAGGTCACGTGCGTGAAATCGTATTTTCGGCTGTTTTACGATCACGCATGGCCGCTCTTTTGTTATTGCTGCTGCTACTCGAGTAAGCCAATAATTTCGAAACGTCACGCGGTAGTTGGGCGTAACTAACGAACCGATACAGTCGAGGGTTGAAAATTGATAGCTTCCAAAATCTCACACGCGCGCTACATTTTTCTTTTTTTCTCATCAAGCATCACAAAAATGCAGATATAGAAATATATTTTGTAAAAATACATGTATTACATCTCATGTACGAGCTGTGGAAGCTTTTGTTTTTATTATTTTATTAAGGGACTTACGTACGATAAAAAAATTACTGCACGTTGTCAAAATAGTTATTTCTTTGTCCTAGATTGTTGATGTAAAGAAAAAGAAGAATAATCAAAAGAAAAATAAAGACGCGCA